CCCTGTCACTTGCCATTATTTTACTTCTGCTAAAGGTGAACCAGACACCTCATGCCATGAGCTCATCTTTCTGAGAGCAAAACTCAGGGTCCAGCACACATGGGGAGAGGGATGGAGCTACATGTGGGCTCTGCTCAGCCCTGTCTCCAGTCACAGCCATTCTGGAGGACCATGGGATCTTCCTCTGCTTCCAGTGTTGCATCTCACCTGCTTTGACAAGTTGGAAGTGGAGGATGCTTTGCACTGGTTGTGTTTTCTGCCTGCCCAGGTAAGTCAGGATGACACCAGGAAGAGAAAATGGTGTTTTCTAGACAAGACATCAAAAAACTAACAGTCATCCAGGAAGAAAGTAAATCATGAAATCACAGAGTGGTTAGGGTTGGAAGGACCTTAAAGACCATCTCATTCCAAACTCCTGCCATGGGCAGGGACACCTTCCACTGAGCAGTTCCTGTTCTCCTTCATTTTGCTCAGGAAGGCACTGGGATGCTGAGATACCTTGAGCCATGCACAGACTCAATTCCAGTCTGCCCCACTCATCCCAGTCCACCAAACCCTTCCCTACCAAGGGCTCCAGCAATGCCAGGAGACTTGCACACATAGCAAGGTGAGGACTGTCAATATTTGCCCACTTGGGGTTCACTGGAGGAGGGGCCCCACCGAGCGGATATGTGGTGGCCATAAAAGATGCGACCAGCAGCACCTGAGGCTCACCAGTCAGCAGAACTGCCACCACCAGCCATGAAGCTCTTCTCACTGATCCTCTTCTGTGAGTACCTCCTGCCAGCTCCCACCCCGCCAGCACAGCCTGGTGCTCACAGGTTCTATCCATAGACTTGGGAAGGGTGAAAATGCTCATGGAGCATCTCCCCTATGAGGACAGGCTGAGAAAGTTGGGACTGTTCAGACTGGAGAAGAGAAGGTTCTATAGGGATCTCATAGCAACCTGCCAGGAGCTGAAGGAGCTACAGGGAAGCCAGAGGGACTCTTGGTTAGGAACTTGGAGTGATAGGACAAGGATTAATGGGGATGATTAAAAGAGGAGAAATTTAGATTAGATAGTAGGAAGAAGTTTTTTAATGGGGTGGTTTTTACTGAGTGTGGTGAGACACTGGCACAGGTTGCCCAGGGAGGCTGTGGCTGCCCCAACCCTGGCAGTGTTAACAGCCAGGTTGGCTAAAGCCTTGAGCAACCTGCTCTGGTGGGAGGTGTCCCTGCCCAGGGCAGGGGGTTGGCACTGAATAATCTCTAAGCTCCATTCCAACCCCTTAACGTTCTATGGTTCTATTTTTGTCTCAGAGGGGTGAGATGGGAGGTTGCTCTTCTCAGTGCTCCTAACCCTCCTCCTTCTCCAGTTGTAGGACTGGCTTTTGCCAGCTGCAACGTGGTCCAGTTTGGAATAATGATTCAACACATGACTGGGAAGTTTCCACTGTCCTACAACGGTTACGGCTGCTACTGTGGCTTGAAGGGATCCAAACAGCCCAAGGATGCTACAGACTGGTATGTTGGGACCTGGAAAGGCAGAGTGGGTGCTCCCAGCCCTCCTCACCTCCCTGGGCACAGCAAGGGAAATCATACACTGCTCCTGGGAGTGGAGAGAGCAATGTGAAAATTGGTTCTAGTCCTTAACATCCCTTTAAGTCATTTAGCTGCAGTAGGCAACGGGAGTGATCCACATCATTGATGTCCAACCATCATAGTATTGTCCCAGCTGCCCCATCCTGCCCTGACCACTGCTCTTGTGCTCCCAGGTGCTGCCATGCCCATGACTGTTGCTACAAGAGAGTGTCTTCCTCCCACTGCAATCCCAAAACAGTCGCCTACAAGTACTCTGCACAGAGAGGGCAAATAACCTGTGGTAAGAGCCGGCGCGGGGGCAAAGCCTTGTGTGGGAAGGCACAGCCATCTGTGCTCTGGGAGGGTTTGTCTTCCAACGTGTCCTGTAGACCATCCTGGCCTGGAAACCACTCAGAGTGAAGGGGGTGGAAATGAGGGAAATTGCCAGGAATATGGCAATAAGTATTTGCTGGACTGTGGTGAAATTTAGAGCTTGGAGACCTCATGAAGGAAGGAGCTTGTCCTTCACCAAGAGCTTGAGGTGTCCCTCCCATCCTGCATAGGGTCCTGATGAGGTGAGGTGTCCCTCCCATCCTGGATGGGGACCTGGCACAGCCACCACAATTTCCCCAGAGCAAACACATTGTTTCATAGACCAAAGCAAAGCACATTCCTGTGATCCAAACAAATATCCATCCAGACATCAGAGCTGAAGTGAATTAAATGGTCCCTCCAGGCCCAAGTGTGGTTTGTAGCCAGATAGCTCCACACACCAGAAGTGTGTCCCTCCCATCCTGGATGGGGACCTGGCACAGCCACCACAATTTCCCCAGAGCAAACACATTGTTTCATAGACCAAAGCAAAGCACATTCCTGTGATCCAAACAAATATCCATCCAGACATCAGAGCTGAAGTGAATTAAATGGTCCCTCCAGGCCCAAGTGTGGTTTGTAGCCAGATAGCTCCACACACCAGAAGTGTGACCCAAGACACCCCAAACTCAATGCCAAGGGCTGTGTACACCATGGGGATGGTGTTATAGTCACCCCCTGACTCTCACACCTTCCCAAATTTTCCTCCAGGAGCCGGGAATTCATGCCAAACAGCAACCTGTGCTTGTGACAAGAAAGCAGCTGAATGCTTCCGGAGGACACTCCAGAGCTACAACAATGCCTACAGGAATTACCCCAACTTCTTGTGCAAGGGCAGAACTCCTTCCTGCTAGGAACCCCAGGCTCAAATCCTGACAGAAACCATCTCAGCTGGGGGGTTCTACCTTCTCCACAGCCAGGCAGGACATGCCATAGCCCTGTGGCACCAGTAAGGTGTCCAGCACCTTTCCCTGGAGCTGGTGCACAGGGTAAAACCAGCTCCCCACGATTAAAAAGCTCACAGAAATGAGGGAATCTCTGCAAATAAAGCTATGTTTTCAAAGGAAATTCGTAGTGTTCAGTGTTGTGTTTGGGAACCCATGGGGGAAAGGGTAGAAAGCTTCAGCACTGGTTTTCTGAAGGAGATATTTAAGCACGTGAACACTTTTGCATCTTTTCCTTAAAAACTTGACCAGAACTGACATCTTAGCAGCCAACCAGGAAATCTTAAGAGCTTCAGAGAAAAAAAAAACCAATGACCACAGAAACTCTGAGTGGCTGCTGCACCCTGAGGCCAAACCAGGCTCCAAGCCCAGTTCCCCTCTGAGAGCTTGACCTCAGTCCAGCCCCATCCCACTCTTAATGACTATGGAAGCAATTAATACCCACTGAAGGCATGGGGGAGCCCAGTGGGAGAGTCTCAAAGCTTTTAGGTGGCTCTTTCTTGCATCCCATCTCCAGCAAGTCCAGCCAGGTCTCCTCAGGCTGCAGCTCCCTCCAGCCACCTGATCTCCAATTAGCACCAATTAACTCTTAACAAGCTAGAGCTGGCAGCCCTTCAGCTCTGAGCCTTAAGGGAGGCATCTCCAGCTCTAAAGCTGCTTCTGGAGATGTGTTTTGCACTCTCAGAGTGAGAGGTCCTAAAAGTAAAGGTGCTTTAAGGGTATTTTCTTTGAGTTTCACCTCAGTGCCTGGCTCTGTTAAAAGTTTTTCATCACAAGCAACACTCCTACCCTTCCTCACGTTCCTACAGTGAATGTGATGCCTTTGTAACTCCAAAACACTCATTTCTACTCATTTTCTAGAGCTACTAAAGGATTTTGAGAGAGCAGAGCTGGGGCAGAGTCAATGCTGCCCTCTGAGGTTGGTGCCTGCAACCAGGCAGCACCAAGGAATGACCTCACAGCTCAACACCATCACAAACCATCTCCCTGTTATCCAGCACTGGAGTATGGATCATCCTTCGGACACAACTTCCCTCCCTTTCTGCAGTTCCTGAGGCTCTGCAGATGTGGAGCCCATGGATGATGTGAGCTAAACCAAAGGCAGCTCCCAGGAAGGAAGAAGGGACAGCAGACACAGAGCAGCACAGGCAGAAAAGCTTTTCCATCCACAGACACAGCCAGAACCTGGCTAAATGCTTGAAACTTCCAATGCAACTGAACTCCTGGGGCAAGATTTGGGGAAAGGAAGTCCAGGGAAGATGATGGTGGTGGATGGGATGCAGGGAAGGAGCTTTCTGCATCATTCCACTGCATACTCACCCTTGAGGGGCTGACAGTGACACTGCTGTTGGCCCAGCAGCAGCCAAAACACCCTCAGAGATGTCAGCCAGCAGCTAGTACAAACAGTCATCCTCCTCAGATCCCAAGGGAATAATATCCAGTGCTTATTGTCCATCTTCAGCCCGTGGATTACGCAGCACTTAGCTCCACCAAGGAGTAAACACGCACTGTGATTCATGATGTCTCTCTGCTCTTGCTCCTCACCTCCCTTTCTCCTGCAAAGAAGAGTCATGACCTGTTTTGCAAAGCAAATTCCCTGCATAAAAGTGTGTTCCATGAGGAATGCTGCAGAAAGATTCCCTAGTGGAAAAAAAATACACACTGGGAAGGTGGAAATTGCAATGGGGAAAAATTGAAAACAGACAAAAGGAAAGTTTTAATGTCTTTGGGTACAGAATGGCTGTGCAGGCACAGAGCTATCCCGGGGAAAAAAAAAACAAAGAGAATTTGACTGGTCTATCAAGACTTACGAGCCCAGGACATTAAGGGTTTGTTTTAATTAAATTACAGTTGGAAGTTGAAGCATTTTCAGGCCCAGATTTGGTTCCAGGTATTGGAGGCCATGACCTGCCAGTTGCCCCCTCTCCCTGCTGATGGTGTTGCTGTTGCAGATCTGCCTGTTTGGCCTGGGGGGAGATTTTAGGTCCCTCCACACCCACAGAAGCTCAGTTGGCTTCAGGACTCAGTGCTGCCTGCAGGACACTTCCCTTCCCAGCTTTCCAGGCTCCCAGCAACAAGGGTTCAAGAGAACTGATAAGAATCAGCTCTCTGGCTCAGGAGGACAAAAAGCAATTCATTAAGATCAAACCTCTTATTCCTAGTGTACAACTGCGACTTCTTGTCTTTTCAAACCTGCCTTTCAACCCAAAACACAGCTGGGCAGGACACAGGTGACACCTTCCTGCACCCACTGTCTTTAGCTCATCATCCCCTGAAGTGACTTTCTCCTTTCTTTCCACTACTGTAAAAGTGACTGTCTTGGAGAAAATTAATTCCTACATCACCAGTTCTTACAGGAGAGCTCCTTTCTTTTTATTCCTCAACTAACAGCAGCAGAGCACATGAAGTACCAGCTCAGATTTCAGTGTTTTCAGTCAAAAAGGCATTTCTATTTCTGTGCTGATTTATAAACTTCCAAGCACACAATTTTTCCAAAAGCAACATTCCTTCCTTTCAAACAATGCCTTTCACCTCTGCCCTGGCTGATGAGGTGTCTCCTGTAGGTGCACAAGTGCTTTCTCCAAGCTTTGTGCTTGTCACAAACCCAAAAACCTGAGTGAGGCTGAAACACTGTGAGCCAGAAAATGAGGGCTGAGTCCCACAGCCCTTACACCTCGCTCCAAATTTCATGTCCTGGAGTGGAAAGCATCACAGGAGTCATGCTGAACATTCTGCTCAGTGACCTTTCCAAAATGGAATCTCAGATGAAAAAATCCTGCCCTGGAAAAAGCTGGATTTATGAAGTGAAGTAGGCAGGTTTCCCTTGACCACTGCTGCTTGGGAGCTCATTCCCAGCACTCGTGATCATAGAGTCACAGAATCAACTGGGTTGGAAAAGACCTCCAAGATCATTGAGTCCAACCCTACCGTGGTCACTAGACCATGGCACTAAGTGCCACATCCAGTCTCAGCTTGAAAACCTCCAGGGATGGTGAATCCACCACCTCCCTGGGCAGCACATTCCAATGCCTGAGCACTCTCTCCGTAAAAAATCTCTTCCTAATAGCCAACCTAACCCTCCCCTGGCAGAGCTTGAGTCTGTGCCCTCTTGTCCTGCTGCTGGTTGCCTGGGAGAAGAGACCAACCCCCACCTGACTCCAACCTCCTGTCAGGGAGTTGCAGAGGGTGAGAAGGTCTCCCCTGAGCCTCCTCTTCTCCAGGCTGAACCCCCCCAGCTCCCTCAGCCTCTCCTCATGGCACTTGTGCTCCAGTCCCTTCACCAGCCTCGGTGCTCTTCTCTGGAATCCACTGGAATTACTATTTTGAGTGGTTTATTTCTCTCCACAGGTCTCACCAGCTAGCAAAGGAGCTGATCCCAAACTTGAGCAGCAACCCCATTCTCCCTTCACTTCTGAACCAGCTCAGTGCAATGCCAAGAGTTCT